TCAAGTATTAAAAACCATTTGTCCCTTTTCACTCCTATCAAACACGCCCGAAAAGCCGGGCCGGAAGTCCAAGCCCCCCCCCCCAAAAACAAAACCCCCCTTTAACCCCCCCCCCCCTAAAAACCCTTTTCCAGCCGACCCCTCCCCCGCCTTCCTTCCACTACAACTGTACACTCTTAAAGGGTCATTCTTTTTCGCCCCTTTTTCTCTCTAAAAAGTCCAAACCCCCCAAAACCCCCCCTTTCCCTCAGCCCTCTGGAAAACTTTTGGGGAATCCCGACCTCCTCCTAACTTCCAAACTCGAATTCTCGCATTATTTCAAAAACCACACATTGCCCTCAGAAAATAAACATCCCACTGCCCCACCCTTCTCCTCGCTGCAACATTTCCACCCACGCTTCACCACCCATATAAGAGCGTTGGTAAAACTAACTCTCAAACATTCCCCCTCTTTGCCCCAAGGAAAAAGTTTTTTGTCCCCAAACAGACTCCTAATTGCCCCACCCCCCTTTTTTTTCCCTCATCAATTCAATGTTTCACCTCAATTTTTAAATAGACCCCCCCTGAAAACCTCCACTCCCAAATATCTGAATACTTTCACCCCCCTCCATACTCTCCCCCTCCAATCTGATATTCAATCTTTCATCACCTAATCTTTTTGTTATCCTCATAACCTTCCCTTTTTTCCTGAAATTCACCTTTAATTTCTTTTTTTGCACACCCAAACCAAATTCATCCACCAATCTCTCCCAACTCTCTTCAGAATCTCCCCAAGAGCACAGTGTCATGGGAAAAGAGCAGCTGTAAACAACCCCCACTTTGTTTTGGGAATTCTTTATCTTTTAACCCCAAAGCCTCTTGCCAAGACCCCCCGCATTTACTTTTTCTTAAAACCCCCATCAAAAAATTATATTAAACAACCACGTGACATCACACTCCTTGTCAAAGGGCCAAATTTTAAACTGGGAAAAAATTTCCCTCTTCCTACATACTCTAACTTGGGGCCTCACTATCCTCGAAAAAACTCTTCACTGTTTTTCAGAAAACCTACCTCCAAAAACCATAAAAACTTGCAACATCCCCACATTGCCCCCCTATCCCCCCGCCCAACCCCTTTTTTCCAAATCCATAAATGCCCCAAAGACCTTTTTACCCTTTAAATCTAAAAAACTGTTCCCCTTATTTTTTCCCCCTGAAAAACACCTGGTCCACACACCCCCCCTCCCTTTTTCCTAAAGCCCCCCTTTTTTCATCTGCAACCCCATTCCTCCGCCCTTACTTTTAAAATTCTTTAAATTAAAAACCCCACCAAACACTTTACCGTACACTCAACAGACTTCCCCCCCCTAAAATTTTTTCACCCCCCTTTTACCCCCTTTTTCCCTTTTAAATACAAAGGAACTATCATGCTCTCGGCCAACCCAGGTACCTTACCCCTTTCCATACTTTTTTTAAAAAAATTGCACCAACCCCCTCCCAAAAATATATCCCCCCCTGCTTTTAAAAATTTCTATCTTTATCCCATCAATCCCGGCTGGGCCCTTTTCCCCCCCCCCCCTTTTATTTTTCCTACTGCCTCACGAACTTCCCCCACACTCACAACTGGCCCTTTCCCCAACCCCCTCCTACAAGATGTTTTTTTTCCTTTCCTTTTCCCATACAAAGAAATCACAGCTTTCCCCATCTTTATCAACATTTTAACAATTTCCCCAAAATTTCCTTTTCCCTCTTCCCAAAAACCTCTAACTCTCCATTTAATAACCCCCTCCTCCACCCCATTTTTTAAATGACAAACCATTTGTTTTTCTAGGCTTTTCTTAACTTGTTTTAACTCACTCCAAAACTTTTTTTTTATTTTTAACAAAAAATTTTTTGATAACATCTCACCCACTCTCTCATTTGCTCTCTTTTTTCATTGCTTTCACCACTCTCTTAACTTCCTCTTTTTTTCCATATACCTTCCCCCCCCTTCCCTTGCTCACTTCTACTTTGTAAAAAAAATTCCTTTTATAAGCTAACTTTTTTTTCCCTTAAATACTCTCTTTACATATCATTCCACCAAAACCCCTCCTCTTCCCCCTGCACCCCCCCTTTCCTGTAACCACAAAAAAATTTTGCTGAACACTCTAACACCCACATTTTTTAAACCTACCCCCAAAACCCCTTCGACCCCCCTTGCCTATGCCTCATTAGCCCATCTATCCTCCAAAAAGCTGTTTTTATCTTACCCAAACGCCTCCTCTTTTTGTTTATAAACCTTCAAACCCCCTCTCTTCCCCCGATGCTTCTTTCTCCTTGTATCCCAACTACCTTTTTTTTCCTCATGTAGCTAAAACTAAAAGTAACTTAAATATCTTTGGGCCCCTTTTATAAACATGTACATCCGAAGCCCTCCCAAAAATTTTAAATTCAAACCCAAAACATAATCCAAAAAACTACTTCATTTCGCCCTACAACATATCGTGTAACTTAAATTTTTCCCCCTTTTTCTTTAAAAAAGGGAATTTTCCTTTTAACTAAACCCCCCTTTTTATACAAAGTTCAAACAAAGGGCCCCATTATCATTTACACCTGGGACCCCAAACTTACCAAACCCCACCCTCTCTAAAAGTTTTTTCCTAATTTACATTCAAGTCCCCTACCACCCAAATTCTCTCTCACTTGGTTTTAAAGGCCCTTAAAATTCATTTTTCATTTTCCCAAAATCTCTCTCTTTCCCCCTCTGCATTCCTCTCTTCTCCAGGTGCATACACGCTTAAATTTTGAAACCCCCTTCTCGCACCAACCTTTACTTAATCCACATAATTCTTGGGAAATTTTCACAATTTATATTCTTTTTCTCCTTTCCATAACGATCAATTTTAAAATTACGCCTACCCCTTCCTTCTCTAACTTTTCTCAAAAACTTTCCCCGTTAAAACCCATTTTTTTTTCCCCCCACTGAAACTCTTTCCCACCCCCTTTAGCTTTGTTTCCCCTTTTGGGCCGGCCCTCCCAAATTCCTTTTTTATTCATAACATCACAAACATCTGTTTCTTTCATCCGCAATACATCCCCGCAAAATTTTAACAAACCCCGTTTTTATAAAGTTTTTCTTCCTTTTCCCCTTTTTTTAAATAATTGTAACAGGGAAGGGGTTACTAGCCCCCTTGCTCCCGGGATTTTTGGGCGCCTCAAAACAACGCATGGGTTAAAGGGGGAAAGATTTCCCTTTTTCCCCCCCCATGGGCAATAGAAGGGAAAAAAAAAAAAACAAGGGGCTTTTTAGAAAAAGAGAAAAACCTAAAAATGATGTATAAATAATATGCATGGCGTGTCTGTGAAGTGTGACCAAAAATGTAAGTAGGAGTAAGCAAAATATAAATATATATTTTATATATATATATATTTATTTATTTTAGGTAGTAGGCTGGTAATAGCAACCACCCAGGGGTACACCGTCCTTAGAGTGGAAAACGAAAGCCTGTAAATTTTTTTAAAATGATGGTAGGAAATTTCTGGGTCCTTTTTTCTGTCTCCCCAAACATTCCCAAATTTCAGGGACGTCTTGCACTTCTACTTACACTTAGGGCACCCCAAAACATGCCCTGAAAAAGCATAATTTTGTAAATATAACATCCCTCGGGGTTTTCTTCTATTTTCTTTCTAGTTCTTGTTGTTGTTTATTTCCTCTTATCTCCATGGGGAAGTGGAACAGAATTCTTCCTCCGTAAGCCATGCGTGTTGTAAGAGGCGACTAAAATGCCAGGAGCAAGGGGCTAGTAACCCCTTCTCCCGTATAAATTACTAAATTTAAAAAGAGAAACTTTTGTTTTTCTTTTTGGACCACCCTGCCTTGGGGGGATAGGGCCGGTTTGTTGAAGAAAAAAAAAAAAAAAAAAAAAAAAAAAAAAAAAAAAAAAAAAAAATATAATTATATATATATATATATATATATATATATATATATTTATTTATTTTAGGTAGTAGGCTGGTAGACAGCAACCACCCAGGTAGGTACTACCGTCCTTAGAGTGTAAAACGAAAGCCTGTAATTGTTTTACATGATGGTAGGATTGCTGGTGTCTATTTTTCTGTCTCGTGAACCTGCAAGGTTTCAGGTACGTCTTGCTACTTCTACTTACACTTAGGTCACACTACACATACATGTGGAAGCATATATATACATACATACCACTCTGGGCTTTCTTCTACTTTCTTTCTAGTTCTTGTTCTTGTTTATCTCCTTTTATCTCCATGGGAAAGTGGAACAGAACTCTTCCTCCGTAAGCCATGCGTGTTGTAAGAGGCGACTAAAATGCCGGGAGCAAGGGGCTAGTAGCCCCTTCTCCTGTATATATTACTAAATGCAAAAGGAGAAACTTTTGTTTTTCCTTTTGGGCCACACTGCCTTGGTGGGATACGGCCGGTTTGTTGAAAAAAAAAAATGTGAAGCAACATGAAATAGTTTACAGTGAAGTTCTGGCAGATCGTAATTGTTTGGTAGTGCTGAGCTTTGTTCGAGAGGGAGCTCGTCGTATATCAACAGAAGTTAGATATTTCACTTCATATAAATTCTTAGATATTACTAGCAAAGAAATTCTATAATTAGACAGCTAGATCTATAAGAAGTACTTAAGAAGGATCTGTTTGCCTAGTATTTTTTTATATACATTTGATGTGAAGCTATTAACTAATGTGGGTTACTCAGCGCAAAGGGAATAGAAAGTTCGATCCTCTGGTTGCCAATCACATAACTTGATGTATTAATCTAACAACCATGAAAAGAAGTATAAGAATTATTTGTATGGAATAAAATAGATTTTTTGCTATTTACACTACATCTGTAATTAGAGGGCTAACAAATATGCTGATGGCTTATGCTATTATTATAGTTGAAATTATAATTATATTTATATCATTCTTACTGTTTTTATTATCTGTAATTATTTTTAATATTACCCTTATCATTATAACTGATTTTACTTTATTTCTTTCAACATAAAATGAGTCACACTCACCACATCATCGAAGGAGTTGTTAGTAAACTGACGATAACAGACTGAACCGAACTGCACTGACATCACTTGTTGTGTGGCTGTGTTCACGGTCAGGTTAGATATAACTTGTGGGGGAATTAAGCAAGGCAGGTTCTGTCCAGCCTGTGAAAACAAAAAAGGAAATGTGTTCGCCTCGTTTATACATTAGAGAGACGCAGATATCATGATTCCATGACAAATCAGTGAACCGCAATTTCTTAAGTTGATAATTGAAGAAATCAAGCCATTCTTCCAACATTCCAACCTCAGATTCTGCTAAGGGTTTCCTTGTAGTATCTGTTAATAAGATTCATCATGTTTACACTCCAACAGCAAGCCAAAGCCTTACATTTCCTATATCTACCAATTTAAATCTTAATTGCACATGCTTGCTGGATTACCAAGGTTCTAACCCTCTAATCCAAGGGTCCTCAACCTGTGGCTCACTGGATGCATGCAGCCCTTCTTAGAAATGGATGCAACCCCTCACACGTAATTATGAATTCATTTTTATGTAGGTCTCACATTTCACAGTGAGAACAAAACTGTGCATCTCTCATCACACATGTGACCATCAAATGAGGCAGACTTATGTAGGAAAGTTGAGAATCACTCCAAGAGCAACCTAGCATCTAGGCACCTCCCTTGAAGAGTTACAGAGATGAGACAGAGTTCACTTACAAAGATGACAGCAGCGAAGCAGATGGTGAAGACTGAAGCGGCGTTATTGGTGATGGTTGCGGTGACTTCCTTGCCATAGCCAGCTGGTACTGTCAGGTTGAAGTTCACCAACTTCATGACGCCATCGTAGGCATTGCCGGTACCGTCCACGCCCTGCGCTGTGACCACGATGTTTCCTCCCAGCTGTCGAGGGCCATACCAAGGTAAATAAATCTTGTACATCGGTAGTATTCAGTACCAACAAGATGAAGAATTGGACACATGTGCAACATCAGAGTATCTTTACTTGTAGATGTTTTACCATCCAGTGGCTTTATTGGTGCAATACATGAACATAATATAAAGGCATTAGAAAAAGTATATATTGATAAAGCCGCTGGATGGCAAAGCGTCAATGAGTAAAGATACCCAGATGTTCCACATTTCTAACTCGTCATCGTAAAAAATCTTAAACACAAATAAATAAAATGTTTTTTTTATCTTTGCGCCACATTTGTCTCACTAAATGGAGAGAGGTATAAGCTTTCAAGAGATGTTGCCATGGATGACCTATACAGGTACTTTTAAAGGAGGTAGAAAAATAAATTTATATTTGTTTAGAGCAAGGAATGGTGAAGGCTTGATCCTTTGTCCGTTATTCGTGAGACGAATACTCAACTAACCTTGAAAATTAGACACATGTGCAACATCTGGGTATCTTTATTGTAGACGTTTTTGCCATTCAGTGGCTTTATCGCCACAGGATGGCGAAACATCTACAGTAAAGATATCCAAATGTTTCACATGTATCTGATTTTCATCTTATTGATACTGTATACCATTCATGTTCAACAAATTGTGTTAGGCGTGCTTAGTACTGATACATATCGATAACATCATTAATGATAAAATGAGATAAAATTAGGTAAAGGTAAGAAAAGAGCACAAGGAAAAGAAGGAATATGAAGTAAAAGAATAGGAGGAAAAGGAAAAATATAAGGAAAATAATGAACAGGAAGAAAAGAAGCATAAGGTAAAGGAGTAGAAAGAAAAGGAGCAGGAAAAAAAATTGGAGGAGAAATGGGACGAAAAGCATTTGAAGGGGAAAGATTATTTATAGGAGGATGATTAGCTGGAGTAAGATTAGTTGTAGGGAGAAGACTAGAACATGAGAAAGAGAAGTGGGAGTCAGAGGAGCAGAGGAAGGAAGGGTAAAAGGGGAAGAAAAAAGGTAATGTGAGAGGAAGTTGTATACTACCACTACTTCAAGTCCTCCTCCCAAAACTCACATCAGGCATGACAGAAGAAACGGTGAGGGAAGCCGTGGCTGGTGGGTTAGGAAAGCCTGTGAGAGTGGCTGTGAGCACTCCAGTGCCCCCTGCCACACCCTTCAACACCACACCAAGCACAATGGAGTTAACGTCTCCAACGTTGCCAGGATACATCGTTCCAGTTCCTGTACAATCAGAAAAGAACATGTTCAATCCACAGCCGGGTCAGGGAAATTGTACATTTCATAACAGCGGTAATGCAAAACTATGTATAATAGTACTGATTTTTTTTCAAATTATCACGTACAATTTATAAATGATTACTGTTATTAAAATTATTATGAAGTGCTAAGCATTTAGGGGTCAAAGAGTGATTGGGAATGGGTCATTATCATGCTGGATCCATGGAAAGGAAGTTCTAACTCCATGGATCAAGAGCTTTTCATCAGTTTCATCCCACCTCCCCTCTCCTTCCTTAACAGGAGCTTTAACATTCTCGTATAGTGTAACAAGAGTCCTCGTTCACTTACCCAAATTACGAAGAATGCCAAAATTAACCGTGGCTTGGAGCCCCCAGTTGACTGGGCTATGAATGATGGTGTTGGGTTGGAAGGGGATTGTCTCCTTGAAGTAAGGGTTTTTGTCCAGACAGGCATAGTTACTTCCTGGTTGCAGTAATGTATCAAGATAGATTTGCATCATTTATTGATAGGCAAAGATGTTGGATATAAAAACATGCTACAAATAATAATGAAATACAAATGCAGAGCCAGTCTTTGTGATAATGCTTCATACTTTGTAGTTTTATCAAGGCAAAAATCTGAAAAATACGTATTGACAAACCAGAGAGGTTGCTCTGCATGTATATCTCAACTTCAAGTATAAGATATTCATTTGTTAGCTATCATGTGCACTTGGGTTATTTAGATTCAGGATGAACAACTTTTTTCCCATAATAATTTTTAAAGTAATCTCTTCATGTATATACACAGATTTCCATTTATTATGTACTATAAATATATAGAAAACAATATAGTTTGCTAGGTTTAATATCTTATCTGCAAGAGAAACCCAAGATAATACCACTAATGACTGTAATTTACATTTGTCTGTAAATGTGAACTAATCATAAACTGCTGCCAAAAAAGTTATGGTAAATGATTAAAGACAGACATACAATACAGGTAAATTCCTGTAATACAAACAAGAATTGTAATTCTTCTTTCTTTCTTTCAACAAACCGGCCGTATCCCACTGAGGCAGGGCGGCCCAAAAAGAAAAACAAAAGCTTCTCTTTTCAAATTTAGTAATTTATACAGGAGAAGGGGTTAGAATTTTAATTATAAACATTTAATTATATACGAGTACAATACATATAAAAAAGACACTTACCAATGTCAAGAATTAGAATTTTGCAAAGACTGATAGTGCTGACACTGTTCACTGTGAAAACAATCGAATATTGTCCCACAGACCCCGGAGGTGTCTTCAACACCACCTGATGAAGGGTATATAATAGATAATAATATTCACAGGGGTAAGATTATAATTAGAATGCTTATAAAGTTACAGTTCACATCATGAGTATTTAGATACAGGAAAAACAATGTCTAAATTTTGACTTGATATGATAGGGGAAATACCATTAATTTAAAATCTGGAATAAAAGGAATGTTTGTACAGACAAGGATGAATGCCTATGTTTAGATTCAGTTGGCTTAGAAGATTCTAGGATCACCAAAGAGGCCACATAGTGGCATACTCTAAAGCCATCATCCAGATTAACTTGCCCAGAGATTATAATTACAGTGGACCCTCGACCAACGATGGCATTGTCTAACGTTAAATCCGACTAGCGATACATTTTAACACAAAAATTTTGCCTTGACTAGCACTAAAAAACTCGACCAACATGATTCGTTCCGTCTGAGACGCGTCCACTTCTGGCCAGTGTTTACAAGCCAGCCAGCCACCATGGTCACTTCCAAGCATACAATCGGAACATTTCATATTATCACAGCCTTTTTAGTGATTGTACCTGCAAAATAAGTCACCATGGGCCCCAAGAAAGCTTCTAGTGCCAACCCTACAGCAAAAAGGGTGAGAATTACTATGGATATGAAGAAAGAGATCATTGCTAAGTATGAAAGTGGAGTGCACGTCTCCGAGCTGGCCAGGTTGTACACAAAACCCAATCAACCATCGCTACTATTGTGGCCAAGAAAACGGCAATCAAGGAAGCTGTTCTTGCCAAAGGTGCAACTATGTTTTCGAAACTGAGATCGCAAGTGATAGAAGATGTTGAGAGACTGTTATTGGTGTGGATAAATGAAAAACAGATAGCAGGAGATACCATCTCTCAAGCGATCATATGTGAAAAGGCTAGGAAGTTGCATGAGGATTTAATTAGAAAAATGCCAGCAACTAGTGGTGATGCGAGTTAATTTAAGGCCAGCAAAGGTTGGTTTGAGAGATTTAAGAATTGTAGTGGAATACATAGTGTGATAAGGCATGGTGAGGCTACCAGTTTGGACCAAAAAGCAGCTGAAAAATATGTGCAGGAATTCAAGGAGTACATAGACAGTGAAGAACTGAAACCTGAACAAGTGTTTAATTGTGGCACTGACAATGTTGTGAAACATTTTAGGAATGTAATAAAGGAACGGGAGGTACAGGCCTCTATGGACAGATATGTTGTGCGACACAGGTCCAGTGACTCTCAAGCTGGTCCTAGTGGCATTAAAAGAAGGGAAGTAACCCCAGAAAAGGACTTGACAACTCAAGTCCTAATGGAAGGGGATTCCCTTCTAAACACTAACACCATCCACAGTCTCCCCTCCTCCCATCCCATCAATCATCACCAGATCTTCAATAAAGGTAAGTGTCATGTAATTGTACATGTCTTCTTCAGTTTGTGTGTATTAAAATTAATATTTCATGTGGTAAAATTTTTTTTTCTTCAATACTTTTGGGTGTCTTGCACGGATTAATTTGATTTCCATTATTTCTTATGGGGAAAATTAACTCGACTAACGATAATTTCGATTAACGATGAGCTCTCAGGAACGGATTAATATCGTTGGTCGAGGGTCCACTGTAATCGCTTCCCAGCTGTGATAACTCATCATATTTTTCCTGGTTCTTTCTTAATTCCCAAACTGGCACTCATCCATACTCAAAGGACCTGTGCATGTATATTTACCTGACACTTAAAAACAAACTGTGAATCATTCAGCACGTAAATCATGAGAGATGAAAAAAACATTCAACATACATTCAGGAAGAAAGCTTTGCTATGTCACACTTTCTATTACTTAAGGAATCCCAACTTCCACCATTCTTCTCTGTATGTATTGGACTGAGGAAGCCACTGGCTGGCGAAACATCTCCTCAGTAAAATTTCCCATATGTTGCACAAGTGTCTCATTTTTCAACTGGTCACTTTTCTAAACCATTTATATCAAACCCCAGCTTTATTATTATTATTATTATTATTATTATTTACTGTTATCATTATTATTATTATTATTAGAATTGTTATTGATTTAAATGATACATAACACCTGTGTGGGAGCAGGTTTGATGATCTGACAAGCATGAGACAAAACATGTTACTTGAATGTACTTGCTAACTTATCTGCAAACTTGCAGAACTTATGACTGTCGGATGTACAGATGGAGTCAATGTGTTACCCTTCAAATATAGTCTGATGTAGCATATGAGGTCCTCTACACCTGAGACAAACGTTGAACATTGGCTGATTATTTGAGATAAAGATTATTGGCTATATGAATCATTAAGGCTGCAAATAACTTCTTTCCAACCCGTCAAGGATACTCCAGTCTCTAAATTAGGCATTATAGTAAACTCTCACTGTATACTGATACCACCTTTTGGCGAGATGTTAATTAACTTCTTGGAATCTTTTATAACAAATTGCATCTGTGTATACACAGATCATGCTTACAGTTAATCTGACGGGAATCTTTGTAAGTAAATATGGAAGGATTATATCTTATGCATAAAACTGAATATATGCTAAAGTATAATTGGATAGGAAAACAGTTACTTCAATGGTAAAACATATATAAGAATAAGTTTAATTTATTATGATAAAGACAGTTACTTAATAGTGATAACATATATTGAAGATTAATTTTTGTTTTTTTACTAAAGACAGTTCACGAGATAATAAAATTTAAATAAGTAATTAAAATAACTTAAGTAATAAAATAACTAAGGATTCTTAACAACAATTAAGAAAGAATATTGAAAAAGTCTATGACAAAAAGAATACCAGTTTTACCTTAAAGCTTATAATCAGATCAGTGAATTAGAAAAAGGGGTAAAGAATGGAAGTATTTACCTTGATAACTGTGGCACGCCGGGCATAATGCTAGCAATGGGAACTGAGGAGGGGGCTACAGTGAAGACACTGTGGGAGATGTCGGAGCAGCGGTAGTGTATGTGAAGGAATCCCAACCAGTCCAGATGAGATTACTGGCCAAACTGATTCCCACACTGAGATTGAACATTCCAGCTAGGAGAAGACATTTTTTGGTTTAATCAAACAAGGTGGAGGTGGGAACAGGTGAATTCTTTTATGTAAAAGTATGTGATACCGGCTAGTAGATGAGTAGGACATGTTCAACAGTTTGGTATCTTTATTGCCTAAATGTTTGGCCTACACAGTAGGCTTCTTCAGTAGAATACAGAGGGGAGAGCAGAAGCAGTGGAGTGTCGAGATGATGTGATCAGTCCACCAACCTTGAAGATGTGCTTTTAAGAGGTGGGAGTGTTACATGATTATATACACTTGGAAAACCCTAGAGGGACTAGTTCCAAACTTACACACGAAAATCACTCACAACGATAGCAAAAGACTCGGCAGACGATGCAACATCCCCCCAATGAAAAGTAGGGGTGTCACTAGCACGTCAAGAGACAATACAATAAGTGTCAGGGGCCGAGACTGTTCAACTGCCTCCCAGCATACATAAGGGGTATAACCAATAGACCCCTGGCAGTCTTCAAGCAGGCACTGGACAAGCACCTAAAGTCGGTACCTGACCAGCCAGGCTGTGGCTCATACGTTGGATTGCGTGCAGCCAGCAGTAACAGCCTGGTTGATCAGGCTCTGATCCACCAGGAGGCCTGGTCACAGATCGGGCCATGGGGGCGTTGACCCCCAGAACTCTCTCCAGGTAAACTCCAGTCCCTCACCCTGGAAAGAGAGTTCAGCTCCACTCTATTGAGCTGAACTCTTTTTCCATGCTGAGGCAGTGACCACCTCAAAAGTCAATTTTTGAGGTTGATGGACTGATCACATCATCTTTAAGTATCCAATGCTTCTGCTGTCCCCTCTGTAGTATTTGACTGAAGAAGCCTGCTGTGTACATGAAACATTTTGACAATAAAATACCAAACTGCTGCAAACGTGTCTCCTCTATATATTGCTACGACTGACCGTAAAACAGCAGCGAGTGTAAACTCCTAGTGATAATGATACTGAGCCAGAGGTCTGGTTATATGTAGGATCCTCAAGATATCTCAAACTTTACACTCTGCTGACTGCACAAAACAGTAAATTTTGACTTAGGACCAACCTTTGATGATCACGATATTCTATGAGGGTCCTGTATTAAGTTGATTAACATATTAATTTCAGGTTTCCTTATGGATGAAGTGTTGGATTTTTTTTTTTTTGCTATATTTTGTTTTTAACCAGCTGGTGGAAATGTTATTAGATACCTTCTTTTGTATTTCAATATGATATTCCAAGTGTAGAAGGTAATGTCCCTTCCACTTGTTCCCCTTCCCAGCCCTTCTATACGCCCTTACTTTACCCCACAGTCTTCCATGTTCCCATCTCCATCCTTACCTACGGCAGTGGGTTGGGGTGTAGGCATGTAGTAGACTACCCTAATAGACACCTTGTAGTCGCTGGGTTTCCCAGTGGTGAGCCTGTTAGTACCACACGCTGGTCCCATTGGCAGCCGCATTCCATCATTAAACACAGAGTCATTCTTCCTGTGGGAGCAGCACAGCCTTGAATACATCAGAACCTGGAAACCCTAAGATTTACTTTACAATATGTTCTTTCTATACCTGCTTCATGTTGAGGGAGGGTGGGAGGGATGTAGAGAAAGGGAGAGGAAGAAATTGAAGGAGGGAGAGGGGAGGGAGGGAGAAAGTGTATACCATGTAAAAATACACTGTATCTCTTGATTCCAAATGAGGGAGGGAGGGAGGGAGGGAAGTAGAGAAAGGAAGAGGAAGAAAATTGAAGGAGGGAGGGGGAGGGAGGGGGGGAGGGAGGGAGAAAGTGTATACCATGTAAAAATACATTGTATCTCTTCATTTTAACAAAGCTGACCATGAGGGTGAGGAGGATAGGGAACAATTTTGAAAGTCGATCACTAATTAGTATTTACACTTGTAAACCTTTCTTCTTTCTGTTCTCTCTGAATTTTCCTTGAGGGATGATGGGATACATTTATCAAGGCTTATCTACCTTCATCTGTTTTATTCAACACTGATCGTTAGTTTGCTCAAGATGTCTCATACCATTTTACTCGCATATAATCCATCTTAATTTTCACTGGTTCTCTCACGAAGTCCTCACCACTTTCAATTATTTTTTTTTTCATGCCAATCCTTGCCACTGGTAACTATACTTCTCCCCCAACACCAGTCTTTATCACCACTGAGTGCACTCTTCCTTTCCACCCATATCAGTCCTTGTTATCATTAATTACTCTATTCCACCTATACCATCACTTACACTTTTCATCCACCGCTAACGCTTTTTTTCTCCTTCACAGTCTCCGTCACTGTCACTTTCTACATGACACACAACTTACGCTAGGTACATGAGTGTCTGCGCGTTGATGTCGTCAGTAAAGCCGGCGATGCAGGGTACAGCCTTGCCAGCTGAGAGAATCCTGACTTCACAGGCTCTAGCTCCCCACCCCGACACACTAAGGTCTCCAGCACTCTCTAACACAAGTGATTGATAGGGTGTTCCACCAGCTGTAACAATAATGTGTGAATTACAGCATAAACAGAGGAATCATATGGTTTATGATACTGTTCATACATAAGATTTTAAATAGGGATCACATGAGTTAAGAAGGAATTTATGTGTCAGAACTGTAAAAGAGAATGCATGTTAAAATATTATCATTTATACATTATGGCTCTCATCACAGAAAACATGCAGAGAAAAGTAACGAAGGAGAATTTATATGAAAATGAGACCAGGTCACATGCCCTAAGCCTTTATGTCAGTCTTCTCAAAAATTGCACCCACCACTACATTTAGCTCATGGTTAGGCCTCTACTGATCTCTTTTTCATTTTTAAGTTTGGCATGGCTTCTATCACAGAAAGCTCTATTATTTTATCTCTTATTGCTGGAATTCATATAAAGGAGTATTTCTGTTCTTTCCCAGTCAATAGCGATTTTTGCCTCAGAAATGGTGAAATATAGCAGAGTGGGCTTTTAACACATCTCTCCAAGCTTGTGTCTTCAATTAGCCAACTACTCAGGTCAACCCATCTGCTCTACATATTCAAAATCAAAGTTTTGGTAAAATCCACAACATGGACTAAGGGAGAGCAGAGCTAGTCCATCACACACACACTGCTATAGAAAACCCAATAGAGAAAGAGGAAAGGGGAAGAGGGAGAAGGGGTAAAAAAAAATCAGGTTAAGTCACAGGTGTTCTGAAGTTTGGAGTATTTTACAAAGTAATGGGAAAGGAAGGCATCTACAGAGACAAAGCCAAGACTAAGATTCATACAAGGAAAGTTGTGTATAAGGGAGGATTCAACCAGACGGTGACTGTGAAAGTGGGAGGTGGGGTAGACAGTTTTAGCAGAAGAACAGTCAATAGGATGACTGTGATCTCTGAAATGACAGAAAAGAGTATTGTTGGTGTTAGCAAGCCTAACACTACTTTTGTGCTCCCTGAGTCTGTCAGAAAGAGAACAGCCAGTTTCTCCAAAGTACTGAAGAGGACAAGGAACAAGAAATAGAGTAGACACCAGGAGAATCTATAGAGGGAAGAGAGGTATGAACTAGATTGGTGCAAAGAGTGTTAGTCTAGTGAAAAGTAAATTTGATGTCTAAGGAAAATCTTCTAAATTTTAACATGCCAGATGTTAAGTGGAAATGTAGAAAAGTGAATAACATGTTTAACTTCTATATAAACTTGTGTCTGGTATGCTCTCAAAAACAAGGGGCTTGACTGTGCTCTAATAAATCAACAAGCATTTTGTTTGTTACCTGGGAAAGTTAGATTAACTGAGAGACCCGCTTGTGACCCGCTATACCAGTTAATGTCAGAGGTAACCAGCTGCGACACCGTGCCAGTCATGTCGCTGATGTTACCAGTCTGTGGGAAAGAACACACTGTATTGATACAAAAGTCTGAGGAGTTTTCTCTGCAGTACTGCTGAAACATTTTATGTATTAGAAAATTATTTATGTTATCATTACCTAGTGCCATAAGTGTCTTATTAACAATGGATTCTAAAGTCTAAGCAATGTTTTAATTTTAAGATTAATACTCCTAGGTCTCATAATATCTCAGATGATACAGATTAAATTCTTGAAAGATTAATTTTACTTTTGCATGGGACTCCAGACAGCTTTAATAAATTTCTATTGTTCATTTTGCTAAAAAGTTGGATTGGAAATTAGCCCAATAACATACAGTAATTCCTTATATTTATATTATGGCTGATGTCACTTCTGACAAATAAAATCACTGTTTTGCTGCCCACTCTACTTTTCTTCAGTGTTCATAAGTATTTATTTATGCTTCCTGTGTTCACATTGCACATTGTATACAGGATTTATCTAGCTTTCTCTTTTGTTTACTTTGAACATTTTTGTTATGAGCTACGAGTAAAATGAACTATAGAATTTGCATTTTAATTTAGCATCACAGTGCCCCGTGGCCTGGTGGCTAAAACTCTCGCTTCACGCAATGAAGATCTGCATTCAATTGCCAGTGCGGGTAGAAACATTGGGTGTGTTTCTTTACACTGGTTGTCTATGCTCACCTATCAGTAAAATGGGTACCTAGGAGTTAGTCGGCTGGTGTGGGTCACATCCTGGGACCAAGACCTAATTTGCCCGAAATGTTCTTCATAATAAGGGACTTTCTACATACTGGTATGTCATTGATGCTCGCTAAGCCTGTATACCATGTACATGTACTTATAGTAAATAAAGATATTATATTATTATTATTACAGATGATGAAATATCAGAAATACATATCAGGAATCTGCATTATCATTAGTGGTTCATCTCAGAAGCATATTTTGCAGCAGAGAAAATGTAATGCTGACCATGAAAAAACTGTCAGCTGGTGGATATAACTAAGATAAAAATAAGCTGGACACATAATTCTGACAATGGCACTTATATTAGGCAATGTTTCTTCTAATGCTGAGCTTTTTTTCCAATTCACTGAAAAGCTCGCATTCGAAGAAAAAGTTGCCCTTTAAGCATCTTGTTTTTCCTACAAGTTGAAGTTGGGAAGTATAATATGAAACCGAACAACATTAAATCTTCCTTCCTGTTAGTCTGTATGGGGAAAGGAGGAAAGAATTTATGAACACCATAGATATGCAAAAAATAAATCAAGAAAGTAGTGCTGTTATGTGTCATATATCTTTCTTCTTTCAACATACCAGCCGTATCCCACTGAGGTGGGGTGGCCCAAAAGGAAAAACGAAAGCTTCTCCTTTTAAATTTAGTAATATATACAGGAGAAGGGGTTACTAGCCCCTTGCTCCATGCATTTCAGTCGCCTCTTACGACACGCATGGCTTACGGAGGAAGAATTTTGTTCCACTTCCCCATGGAGATAAGAGGAAATACACATGAACAAGAAGTAGAAAGAAAATAGCAGAAAACCCTGAGGGGTGTGTATATATATACTTGTACATGTATGTGTAGTGTGACCTAAGTGTAAGTAGAAGTAGCAAGACATACATGAAATCTTGCATGTTTATGAGACAGACAAAAGACACCAGCAATCCTACCATCATGTAAAACAATTACAGGCTTTCGTTCTACACTCACTTGGCAGGATGGTAGTACCTCCCTGGGCGGTTGCTGTCTACCAACCTACTACCTAGGATGTGTCATATATAGATATACAATATATATATACAGTGGACCCCCGCATAACGATTACCTCCGAATGCGACCAATTATGTAAGTGTATTTATGTAAGTGCATTTGTATGTGTATGTTTGGGGGTCTGAAATGGACTAATCTACTTCACAATATTCCCTATGGGAATAAATTCGGTCAGTACTGGAGACTACCATGTAAACATACTTATGGATGTGAATAATATAATATATTTTTTTTTTTTTTTCAACAACGGTCGTTCCCACCAGCTAGGGTGACCCAAAAAAGAAAGAATATCCCCAAAATAAAAATACTTTATATTCATTCAACATCGTTTCACCTACTCACACTACACTGCTTTGCGAGGTGACTCAAAACAAAGTTAGAAGCAAACG